AGTACTCTTGTTGATCTTTATTATCGGTAAACTTTGAGGTTTTTTTGTCCCTTCAGTGCTGAATATGACGCATTTCTAGTCGGTGTAAATACGTGAACGAAATGCCAAAATGTTTCGATCGCTTCTGGTTAAGATATTTTAAGAATTTCCCATTGTCCTCTGTCAGGAAAGTTCGTTTTGGAAAAGTTAAAAGCTGTAAAACTGAAAGGTTTTGTTTTAATTGAATTAAACCGACACTAAGAAAAATTGCACCGTGAAAACAGAGTAGGGTGTGCACATGTTGTGTTGTGTTGTGTTTTCACTTTCTTATCTCTTTATTACTTTCCTAAGTATAACTATACATTTTTATTTAGCTGAGCGTGCTATTGATCTCAATGGAAAGCATAATAATACTTCACTTATCTGCAGGGCGACTTCTCTGTTAAAAACACTTTTTACACTGTCGATTAGCACAAAAAGGCAGACAAAAGTTTCAATGAAAGAAAGCTAACCTAGCTTATCTAGAAAATCTAACCTCCGAATGAGCTGAAAAATTTATCAACTGCAAATGAAAAAGTAAACACTCTTGACAAAAAATATCTGTCATTTATCTAGCTCAATATACACAGTACTTGAACTTTCCAGGTTACAAGTTCTGGTAGACTTGGTTTGATTTCATCAAGCGTGAAAATATCCTAGTAAATTTTCCTTCGCTATAACTCCAAGAACCGAATAATTAAAAAAACTACAAGAGGGTAATTGCTTTTAATTAAGCCTCAGATGAACTGCAACGAACTAAAATTTCCTTGTGTTTTACTGCTGAGCGATGTTATAATCACATTCATTATATCCAACTGCTAAATTATGTTTTGAGCTAAGTACAGATGAATATTTTCGCTTTTTCGCAGTTTGCTTCGTTAAAATGCCTCAGGGGTGGACCATTGCTATTGATGCTGAGTTTAAAAAGGTTTTGGCACAAGTTTATGAACACGATTTATTCTACGTTTTTCATCGTTATCACACTTTTAGCGGATTTGTCAAATCCGAAATATTTTTAGTGTCTAGTATGTGATAAGAAATATCAGTCAACATCTCATATATTAATCTCTTACGAATTTAAATGCGTGATAAAAAATGGATTCTTGAAAAAAAGTTAATAATATTCTCGAACAGGTTAAATTTCCCTTTTTGTAAACAAATGCTATGAATATGTAAACCGTGAAATCTCACATCTTTAAAGGCACACAGTTAATGAATTAAAGCGATGGAAATTACGAGCTATTGCGAAGATGAAATGATAAACATTTCGATTTCAATATCTACTTCATTCATAACTTTTTATTATTGCAGAAATTGTCCGGTTTTTTTTTAACACCCACCATCGTTTAAAGCTTAACTTTCAAATCGCCGCCATTAGTTCTGGTCAGTCGCGTAAAAACGAATGAATAGCCCTAATTGAGTGCAAAAGGCAGTCAAATTTACGTGCCTTTTTCTACCTGCTAGTGAATTTTAACAGGTTGATGATGCCTGCTTCTTGATGCCGCCATCATTCAAAGGAATCAGTTATCAAGGAAATTAGAGATAAAGTTCAAACTCGTAGGAAGTCCGTAATTTGCTTAACAGTGTTTCAAGGGAGCAGTAATTTAAATTTTGATTGTGATTAAAAGAAAAACTCACAAAGGCTTTTCCTTTTGTGGTAGATGAGCCAACATTTAATTTTCAACACCAACGTGAAGCGCCTTTTGTCTGAAGACTGAAGGTTAGAACCAACAAACTTCGAGTGCAGTCGGATCTGAGGGACAACCCTGTAAGTACAAACTAAGAATTTTCGCAATCATGTGCCAGAATATGTATATTTTCAACAAAAAAGAGCAAGAAAAGATGACTTTTGAATCCATCTCATATTTAGGCTAGAAAAGTTTAATTGTTGATGAAAACGTGGCCAGGGAACCGCAAACGAAAATGCTGATGGTATACCTAGGATAAGGTCTGATTCAATTTGGGCTCTTTCATGTTGTTGTCGCGTTAAGTTTTTTATGTAATATCAGCCTTGCTTAATTGTAATTCTATTACTGTTAATACTGCTTTCCAGGAAACTGCTGGATTTTCTTTCCCGAGTGGGTGGCAAAAAAAAGAAAAAGATTTCAACGAATTGACTACAAGTACTGTAAATATAAAACTCTCGATGATTCCACGTGTAGAACAAAACTCTGCAGCATGGTAAAAATTTGAAGCTTGTCACTTTTGGAAAAATCTCCTTATTTGTATTGGGTTGAAAATTTAGATAGAGCACACGCCTTTTTAAAAATCACTTGTGGTAATGAATATTTTTTCGATTTCTGATTTAATTAAGGGGTAAAATAAAAGGAAATTGTTTTCTAATACAATATATTGTATTTCTCGCGATATAACAGCTGCATGACTTATTCAAATTTAACTTGCAATGACTTCAAGAACTAAGCAAGGTAAAATCGATAAACAAAAAGTAGGTCAGACCTTAAATGTCCAGAACCAACGTGTATTTTAAGGCAGCGTAGCTTTAGGCAGAAAACCACAAATAGTTCAAAATGTTTCATTGCAATTTCGAAATAGTCTAGACAACGTTAAAACGCAATCTTAGTACCTGTATTAAGTTAAGGCGTTGGCGTGAAAACTTTTAACCAAATTTAAATTTTCTTATTATCCAATTCCAAGAATGAAAAGCAAAGCAATGTCGTGCTAGAAGTTAACAACTTGTGGCTATCCTCTTTTCAAAAATGTATGTGTACACTTGTATAGTTCTTTCAGTCCAAAAAGGCAGGTTGTTAGAGTTTTATGTTCGATTTATATTTTCTAAAAAAAACGTTGCGATTTAAATGGTCCCGTTAATATTTTATTACACTCGTTCCCAGAATTTAGAAAACTCGTTCGGACGAAACATTTTTAGCTGATGTGATTTGATTTTTCCTGATAAGTTCTGAATATTTTTTTCCCCGATTAGTTACCCCAAGAATTGCTGGGTTTTGTTTCGATCAGAACAATTTCAATTCAAGTGTTACCCAAGTGTCTTTTAGCTAAACTGCGTTAGTCGACGCAAGAGCACCTTAATTCAATTGTTATAACATTGTCAGTTCTTGTTACGTAAAACATCGCTCTTCGCAAAGTCTTCCAATGTAATACATGCAGGTTGGATTCATTTGGAATAAATAAAAGACGTTTTCTTTAGAAACGGAAATTTCTACCTTTTGCGGCATATTGTTAAAGGATTATAACAAGGCTATCTTGCTCGTTATCAATGCACCTGCGTCCCAAACAATGGGACTATTTGTTGTGAACGATTTATTTTCATCTCAAACACAACCATGTTTACGGAAGTCGTCTTGTATGTTGAAAATAACCTGGTCCCAAAGAAGATGTTTCGTACCTCACGTTTCCTCATTTAGCTTGAGCGCATCATCCATCATGTTGACTGCATTATTCAGCAAAAATTCAATCCTGACAATGCTGTGAGAAATTAGTGACTTAATCAATACATTGATTCATTTAGCGTTGGTGCAGCCCAAGTGAATTTTGTCAACTCATTTGTTGATGGAGAACTTTTTCCCTAATTACAACGAAATGTCATGGACTTGACTTTTTACAGCTCAGTGCCTGTACATTCTCCTTGATCTGTTGATTAATAATATTATACTAATAGAAAATTACTTTCCGCAATATTTAACCGTTCACTATATCTTTTACAATATGTCCAATCTTTAGAGTATAGTGTTTATATTTTCAAACTCGTTCCAATATCTAACGACAAAAGAATAGGTTTTCTCTCTTTTGCCTAGAAAACTAAACTCACTTACTGACGTAATCAAGTTGTTTTGGCTTCCTGGCCTATAACGCGGTAATACTGTAAATAAATTCAAGAAAACAGACCCATATTTTTCAACAGATACCCAGAGAAATGAATTAGATAGATGCTTTAAGATCGCGCCTTATCTTTTGATAACAGTATTTGATGACAAGGCTCTATTCAAATCTCTCCACGACTACAAAAGTTGTTTCGCGATACTATGCGGGGAGTATTCTTAATCGAAGTGTCCTCTAGTTTGTTTAGAGTGATCTGTGATATACATGTCTTTCTCTGTAGCGAGTCACCCATCGGTAGACTTCCGTATTATTCCATTCACTTATTTTCTTTGAGTTGTACCGACACGTGTAAATGAAATAAAATTATTAGTCCCACTCTACACTTCATTTTAAATTAAGCGTGATAGAGATTTCAATGTGCACGATTTTCCCGAGTAGAGTTCTAACTCGATATTACACATAGCCTTCCTCTCTTAAGGCTGCAGTGTATGAATAAACTTGTCTGACTGTGCGAGACCTTTGTTTTCGTTTGCCGTTTCTCAGTATCTGATTGTTTTGCCTTACTGTGGCAGCATGTTGGTTTGGGTTCACCCGCCCGGCGCCTCGACGCTGCTTCTTTTAATTAAGACTACGCGGAGTGTTCACCAGTTAATAAATAGAACAAAAGATAGCATCTTGGAATGACTAAAGAACTTCGTGAAATTTTTATGAGTTTCCAGTGGGGCGGTGATTGTACACGGAATATAATCAGCAAAAAATGCACTTGCATTGGGGTCGAATTAGGCGTGAGTATAATAAAGAACGACTTAAGCAAAAGTTATGATCGCGTTAGATACCAGATAGATAATTTCGACGAGCTAAAGAATCTGAAATTTACCGCAATTTTGTAAGAAACTCTTCTACCAACTGGTGAAATGAAACTATTGTCTTAACCAGTCGAGACAAGTCTTATCTTCGTTTGTGTATCGTCAATCGTTATTTCTTGAACCAATAAAAGAAATTCCGCAGCCACGTATCTTGACAGCATTTAACAGAACCTGCCAAATAAATGCATTCGGCCCACGTTCTCATCATTAATAAAAATCATCAATTTTTCAAGACACTCGCGAATCTGTCTAATGGAAAAATACCTCTATGAATGGATTTGAAATTAAGCGGAATAAAAATCACTTCCTTTGAGCTTTTAAGGTCACACAAAAGACCCCCCGAGTGGCGTGAGAAGACTTCCAAATGCCCCAGCGGTTGTCCGTCAAAAGAAATCGAAGATGAGAAAAAGCAAAATTAATCCCATTTTGAAACCTAGGGTTACTTTGTCACTAATTTCCTTGACCACAGTAATAGAAAAATACCCTCCATTCACAGATCATATATTTGTTTGCTATCATAGTTCTGACAGACGAATATAAAACCTGAGTGGCATATCACCGCACCACAAAAGCCAAAGGAACGCCGCGCGGACAGCATCGAACGTAAGCCTAACAATTCTGAGCGCGTTCATCATGGAAAAAGTTACATCACTAGTGATATTCGCTGCCTTCTTTGCTCTAACCTGTAAGTCTTCGATATTTATTTATATCTATCTGTTTATACTATCTTATTTTCATGCTCTCAAATTTGTTTTTATGGCATTTTCCTTTCCATTTTATGAGGTGATTTTGTAAAGGAAGACTTCATTTTTTTGTTTCTTAACGGACAAGAAATGTTTGTCTGTATTCAGTTTTATGTTGGACAAAGAGGTAAAATAAAGGAAAGTTTATTACAAGCCGCTATAACGTTTTTAAACACAGTCATCTGGTTAGCTAAGTCAATGATTCCTAAGAAACGACAGATACGTCCTTTTTCGCTTGATGAAGTTTAAATTGTTTCCTACTTTATTACTACTGCCAAAAGGAGCGAAAAACGTTCTTGATTTAGCATACGATAACCACAGAACAAAACGATTATATGAATGAAAATCATTTTATCGAGTTCTACATCAGTTCTGGGCTTAGAACGTATTGCAAATTTCTGAAAGTATAATTTATGATAACTATATACATCTTTCCCGTGTAATCCAAGTTTTGCCGTTTGAAAACCAGAATTTGATCCATGGACAGTTCTAAACTTGTCCAAAACAAGACCGTTTTTTGGTACACTAGGTTTCTAAAGAGTCCGTGATATTATTTTTAATTAGAAATGGCCAAACGTTTTGAAAATTTCAACATCTTTAAGTCGCTAAATTTCTCTTTGACTTATTTCATAGGTTCATTCCCAAGCGAAGATAGAGGTAAGAGTAAACTCTTCCCAATAGTTAAAAGAAAAATATCGAAAAATATTTCACAAAGGACGTATGAATTGTCAGATACGCTGAAAGGTCATAATTTTTCATTTTACGATCAAAATAAATACTTTTTTCAGAACATTAAAAAGAATCAAGAGATTAGACTTTAAAGCCATAAAACCTAGTTGTTCTCTAATACATCACATGACCATTTTAAGCTTACAAAATAACTAAAAATTCCTTGACCAGAAAGCAGGTTGCGTTTGCAACAGATACGCAAAGGTATTGCCAAATATCGCACTCAGTTCTATTTTCGCAATTCAACAAGCACAAAATTAAAGTATTTCGATTGATTGGATGTAACAAACATTTGAACCAGATATAATCTGTCTATTTCTATTGGAAGAAACTAATTTTTTTTTTACTTTCGGTTGGTCGCTTTCCCCCTCGCTTCGCAGTTGTGCACGTGAAATTTATTCTGCCACCGGTTGGCCACATTTGTCTTCAACATGAAAAGAAATCGTATCATGGAATGCTAATGCTAACAGACAATATAAAACTCAATTTTGTTTTCCCAATATCTAAATATTTTTTTTTGGAAAATTTCGATAGGGTAGCACTGTCATGCCCACGCAATGTTTTATAATTTTTTCTCAGAAGAGGGGTTTAATTTTTCCAAACCATAACAAAAACTCAAGCTGTAGAGACAGTTCCGTAATTTTATTTCTGGTGTTTGTCTTTTGAATTAAAACGATTTACGATTTGACAGCAGATAAATTTTTCGTAATATTGCTGTTCTTATTTGTGTCAAATAAATATTACTTACGCAAAGAGAAATATTCTGCAATCAGAGATTAGAGATAATTTTACTATCAGAATATTAGTTCAGTTTCATTGACACCTTGATGACGCGCAAGATAATTTCATTTCGCATTTATCAACGTTACTGGTGTGTACCAGGATGACTCTTGTATAATTAGATTTGACGATTCACTTTTTCAAAAGTTAGAAAGGACCACATAATCGAATAACTTTTTACAGCAAGGAATTTTCCAAGGGTTTTCATTTCCAAGTACAAATTTAAAACCAACGGGAATGGCTTGAAAACGCCAAAAAATTCGCTTCACTTTTTGTACTGATTCCCTCGTTGCCAAGCAACTTAACTTAGAACGCGGGGTTTTCGGGTCAAAATTAGACTGTATAATTCACACCACCTTCTGACAGCAGTAAGTCATTAAAAACTAGGGGTTGAAAGCAACGACTCAATAATTTATTGTTTCTACGTGCAGTTCCATTAAAGTTTGAAAATACAAAAAAGATTTCGTAAGAAATTCAGCGAACACAAAAGGCGAGAAAGCACAATATTTTTATGTTTGTCTTAATGTACTTTTTAATATACCTCAGTAATGAAGCCCATTGAATTTCTTTTCATTGGCCGTTGATTGCTGTCATCATAAAAATTTGAACTTCCCTTTTTTTATTTCAAATGGGTTTCACCAGAAAAGTAAAATAGAATGATCCTGGATTCTCGCTATTTCCAAAGCAGATCAAAATCACTTTCATTACTTTGTTGCTGTTAAACGTTTACAAAGCAATCGAGAACGCTACGTTTTCGTCTTATCAAATACAAGAAACAAATTAAAAATTATCCAGAAGGTGAACGAAATTTCCGTCAGAAGAGTAAATACTTCAAAACATCGAAATTCATTTTCCACCGTATCGAAATTTGGTCTTGGTAATTAAGTATATTGCGTTTTGTTTTATTCTGTGTTTTAATGAATTTTAGATTGTAAACTTTAATTACTCTGCCGAGCTATCGGACATAAAATAACCCTCGTGACTAAACCTTAAGAGAATAAACAGTCTAAGACTTGCATTTGGAAATGTCTTTTGGTTGGACTTAACAATAAAGTGAAAGTTGTTGTTTTAGTCAATATAGTCGTGAACATTTAGTATAACTCTGTGCATAAAAAACTTCTGATTTCGATTCAAAGTTACTTTACGTCTCAAACACTGATGCATATTTCAACTTGTACATGTACGTCAGCTTATTTCTTCAAACAAACTGTTTGTAGTAATTACTTATACCTAGTTTTATCCCTGGCTTTGCACTTAAGAAAAAAAAAGGATTTTTTTCGACCTTTTCTGACAGAAAGTAACTAAACATTTTCAAGTCTTTTAATAATGATCTATAGCTAAAAAAATGAAAGGACAGGGTTAATCTTAAGTCGTCGATCTCTTTTGTGGCGACTTTTTTATTTACATTTAATTACTTGCAAATTACAGATGTGGCTGTATTCGTTCTGAATTATGTTTTTCTCACATTGGTCCTAATAATAAGAGCTTTTTCAAACCGCTAGACGGTGTCACTTTGAGTTCTGGTTCTCGTTTATTAAAAAGCTTTGAAAGGGCGACATGGGGAAAGAGAATTTTAAATGAAAGATATTATAAACATCATTTATAATTTTTTCGAAGTTTTTGCTCTGTCTTTTTTTGTTTGAACAAAAACAAACTTGTTTCATTCTCACAATAATTTTCTTCTTGTAGGTTTAATTCTTTGAACGCGCTTATTCAGTTTCACAGTCATTTCTATTCTTAACACAACTCTCTGATTTTCTTGACTTTCTCTTTAACTTTCTCATTTGTGGTGTATGCTTCATTATCAGTTTTTTAATTCGCCTAGTTTAACTTTCATCTGGCCCAGTACAGCAAGCCAACTAACAACATGCAGGTTATCTCTTACATAATATTTTGAATTTTCGGTAATAGAGGAGCTTACAAAAACTAAATCTCATATATTGAACAATTCTAGCTCCCTTTTCGATGAAATGGCGACGATAAAGGAATAGCGAGAAGAAAGTAGCCTTGAAGGACTCGATTTTACATCGTGTATCACTTTACAAACCTTCGCAGTAAAGGCGTTCTCGCGACATGTTTATTGCGTCTGAGATTTCTACTCGGTATAAACACAATATCTTGATTTTCGACATTTTTTCGTTATATTTACAGTTTTGCAATTTTTCTCTCTTCGTATCACGATTTAACAGACACTTGAAGTTTTATATTTTCGTTTTGCTTCGCAAGGTCAAGTCAAAATATTTTGTCTTCTCAAGCAAAGATATTGTCTGTGACGATTTACAATTAAAAATAAGGTGGAAAAGAATACATCTTGTAACTAACTAGATCAAGAGCTGAAAAGACATGTAGCTCACTGCCTTTTAAACGTTTTGAAATAATACAAGGATTGCGCAAAATATCGTGGTTATATTGTTAAAATTTTCAACTGAACTGAACTGAAAATTTCAACCGAACCGGTAAAGGATTGTTTAGACGACATTTTGACAAGTTTAGTAATCTTTAGAAATCAACACTACAGAAGTACATTTTACTTCCAATTTTAAAGACATCAGCTGAGTTTATAATGTTTCCAACGTTTTCCATTAAAAATGTTCACAACGTATCGATAACCTTAAAATTATGATAAAATGACCGGTAACATAAACGTAAAGTAACAGTAACAAATAATTTAGCCAATCATTTTACTCCGAAGAATACGAATGTTACAATAAAAATAATAAAACTCCCAAATTTTATATTTTGCAATTTTTTTTTCAAACAAGCAAAATAGTAACTACACTGTATAAAAGATCTCCTCAGTGGCTTTAATCTGAATGGTTACTCGATAGACTTTGATCCACAGACGTAAAGGTTACACTCGTCATTTAGAACAGTACCACATGAATGTATTGCTCGATAGCTTTCATTTAAATGGTCACACACTAGGGTTTCATCCACCGACGGTGAACCTGGAGTGAATAGGTTAACAATAATTTCTAACCCATAACCATTTTTCTTAGATTTGACAGAAAATGAATGGATGGAACAAACCCTACGTTAGTACAATAAGTAACTTTTTAAACATAACTTTAACTTCTTCTGTTCTTTTGGTTTTCCTTTCCTTTTCTTCCAATGGAGAAAGTTGTGTCGAAAGAAAATAGATAGGCAGCGAGATTGATTATTCTATCGCCGAAACTGCACGATTTGAAAGTTGTGATTTCTTCGTTTCAATTTACTTCTGGAAGAGATGTTCGTTGATTGCAACGATAATAATAATAATAATAATAGTAATANTTTTTTTTCATTGTAGATAGATTCTTTTTTTCATTATTTCATCCACAGGTGCTGCCAACCTGCTTGCAAGAGAGTTTAAGAAAAGAGGTAGTTATGTTGTTTAGTAAATGCCATTTTTACTTGGCTTCAGAAATGGCGGACAGGTAGTCCTATTTTCGTACACTTAATATTATCGCAAGGAATCTGAAAACGGCTGAATTATTTGAAATGATTAAGCAATTGCAAAACTTCAATCAGTTAGCAGTGGGAGGACTTCACTTTATAGGACGTTTAAAAGATTATGATGATTTTAACACAATTAAAACTGCTACCCCAATGCTTTGTCCTTAACTTCCCGCAAAAACGGATACGCCCAATTTTCCGTACGATTTCTTGCAAGGCGGCCGTCCAGATATTCTCAGAACTTATGTCCAGTCTTCAGAGGAGTCATTTCAAGCCTGTTTCATTCAATTCAAATTAAATTTTTTGCATTTACTGATCCTTATCTTTTCCCACTTTTTTGCAGAATTTGATTACGACATGGCTCGTTATGGTAAGATATATTTGATTAATCATAGCAAATTTTCATTTACTCCTTTCCAAGCTGAATAATTCATCCGATTAAACAAAGGAAATCATAACCGTGTCGGTGTTTGGATACATGACCTTGATTAGCATAGATTTTTTCGATTTCATTTCTCCGTTTTCTCCTTAGTTTTAGTTTCGATTGAGACATCAAACACGAAAGACCGTGTTCGATCACATTTCTAAACATCTCGTTTTATGGGTTAAAAAAAAAGGTCTTTCGTGTTTGATATATTTCTGCCTACCACTGGGTTTCTTTGAAGCTCTCTGTTCTAAGATTAAAATGTAAATTATTCTTCGTGATCGCTAATTTTTTTAATATTAGTCCTGATAATTTAATAGTGAATCCAATCAAAATTCCGTATACTGTTGATGAATTTAATTATTCTCCTCACTTGTTTCTTTATCGTGTATTACTATTGTAAGAAGAATTCAATCACTGATGGCGTCTTTTCCTTGACTTTCTTTCAGGCCGTGATTTTAGCGCCTGTTGCAGCCCGGATTGTGATTGGTTGCTTGATTACTTGGAAATTGATTCCTCTGTAGTGAAATGTCTGGACCGCAAATAAAGCCATTTTTTGTGCAAAATTACTAAAAGAGACAAAAAAAGAACACTAAGCGACCCTGTGAATCTTGCAACTGAAAAATGTAACTTTTAAGAGATGTCTGCACGTTAAGGGTGTCCATGGTAGTCAGATTTAATTATTGAAATCAAACTCATGTTGTACAGAACTATCACTTGAAAATTAAATGAACTATATCACAGTCAACCGAGGAAAGGCTCCTCTGCTGTTCTTCTTAAGGTGGGGGGGNGGAGGGGGACAGCGCGATGTGGTTAGACGGGGAACAAGCCGGATGGATTGGATATTAAATTACGAAGCTTTAAATTGATATGACTTCTGCAAGTGGGAAAAATCTTCAGGGCGATTTTACTATCTTTTTCGTCAAAAACGTGCCAAAAGTATGACTAGGTAATTTTGATCAATAACCAAGATATTTAAAACAGGAGCTCATCACTAGGAGCGTGCACCTCCCATACGAAGCCTACGCCACAGCATTTTTACAGACCGGTCCATTTTTAGGCTTCTTTTCCCGCGAAATAGGTCAGTTTCGGTTTACATGAGCGCGCATCGATAAGGAAAAATTGGCTTACCTCACATCAGTATCCCATCACTTCTTCCGGAGAAATGATGACGTCATTTAAAAATTAAGTCCGTGCTTGTGATTTGTCACTGTGGTTCCTGCCAGGGTCTGAATTCGCCGTGAATTCAAACTAAAAATAGATCGATCTGTGAAAACGCCGTGACAGGAATATGGCTTAGTTGCACGCTCTTAGTGGTGGTCTCCTGTAATTGAAAGTAATTAATTGGAGGGAGAGAAAATTGTAACTTGTTTTCAGCTGGGCACAAGGTCAGAGTTTTGTAACGTCTGCTCGCCGACATGTGATTTGTATAGGTAATGGTATGAATGCGAGTGCAATTAAGGATTTACACTACTCGTGATATGTGAAAATTCTCTCAAAATTGCACGAGCCTCTATATGACTGAGAAATTACGAACGCGCGCGCGTTAATTTGCACTGCAGTGAAAATTAATAATTAACGATAAATTGGACTGCTATCAGCCAATCACAAGAAAAAAATTTCCTCAATCATGTAATAATCATGATAAAACACCTGTAACACCTGCTGAGCACTATTGTAGTAACTAACAAGACCAGACATTTATGTTGAGGTTTTTATCGATGTAAATATGCCTTCTGGCATTAGACGTTTCGAATTCATGCTCACAGTAGAGACCTCCCTTTAAGCCCTAAAAATACTGTGATGGACTAGTTTCTAGTGATCATGAAAAAGAAAAACCAGAATCTTTTTGTGCAACAGGATCTAAAGTCAGCCCCTCAGCCTAACGGCACCCAACAACTACAATGTCTACTTTTCCTTTGGCTTGATTTAATTTGTTTGTTTGTTTGTTTGTTTGTTTGTCTTTTTAGCGAAGCAATACAAGACCAAGCAAAATTCAAAGAAATCGGGATAAGCTCTGGTAGTGTAGACCAGTTAGCTCGAGTATGACTTTCATTTAGCTTTTTAGACGCACGACTGCATTCATTTGAATATCAGCGACGCCAAGGGTCAGTACCCAGCGATAATTGCACAACAGAAGAGACTGTGCAAATAGTAAATAGTACTATATCTATGAATCTACTACTTGCGTTTATTTATCAAGTCCGACGTAGAGACACTATAATCGCTACATCAATCTTTGCCAAAGATCGTCGGTCCTGATACTTCTATCTACTCTTACAGATGTTTCCTAATGTCTTTTACAACATGTCTTGCAAAAGACAAAACATCAGGTTTTGCAAGAATTCTACATTGTCATAGTAACTTGCTGATACGTCAATGCTTCTTTGGCTTTTACATTTTCAACGCAGAGTTTTTTTCCCTCCACACGTGCTTTGACACTCTCCCAATGTTCTGAAGTTGTTCTGGTTCCCTGAACACCCTCCGTAGATAAACTCCTTGCACTTTCCTTCATGTCGGTCAAAGTAAAACCTTCTCAAATATGCCATGCATGGGCCAGCCTCTTCGTCCAAATCACAGAAATCGGGATGGGCTTCGGCCATTTCTACATGGAGCAAAACAGCAAACTTGTTTCAAAAATTAAGCCCTTTCAACGGTTTCAATACTCTTATAGCATGAAACATATTAGACCTCGAGGATTCCAGATTCCATGGTAGAAAGTACAAGCCTACATCGGTCGTGTGTGTGATTAACAACACCTTAAAATCCAACCACTGGTCCACTTGTGTACTAGTCAGTTTCTGTTGAACTAAGAGCTTATTATGAAAACTGTCTTTAAAAACAGAGTCTTTTTTCGTGGTATACCATGACCAGTCCATAAGATACGATTCCATGAAATTTTCCCTTCTTATATCTTTTCTAATTCCAACTTCTCTGCGTTAATGCATTTATTTTCTCTTCTCCGTTTCTGTTCATGCCGTCAGGACAGACGGGAGTGATGGAGTGGTAACAAAGATAGACAGAGAGGCCATGCATACGTGAATAATACAACTAAAACCCGCCGTCTAGAACTCTCCACAAAAAGGAAAAAGTTAGACAGAGCCGCGAGTTTGATAGTGAATAACTGAGAAAGAATACCCAAGGGAAAATAACTTAAAGCCCCGGCAAAACGATGGCAACATTTCGACACAACATCCCGCAACATTAAAAATTCTAAATTGCAGTCAGGGATGGACATTAGTATTATACATTCGAAGTTTTGTTTGACACTGACTCTAATAAAACGTTTAAAACGTCTTTGCATAAGTTGCTATAAACGTTGTTTTAACGTTACTACTGATATGGCAACATTGTTGGGCGCAACATGTTTTGTTGGCTCAAGTTTGAAAATGGTCAAATTTGAGCCAACAACACCCAACATGTCGCAACGCGTCGCAACAGGGTGGACAGACGCGTGACGCGGACTTCAAGATAACCGAGTTTGATTTAGAAAGGTTTTAATATAGACATATAATGAATAGCCCTCTCTCCTCCCCTTTCTCCAAACCATCTAACTCCGTTGTCGAAAATTGGAAGCTGTTATCTCCCTTAAAACGACTGAAGAAAAGCTTTAACGCTAGGATACTGCCAATGTAATTCATTTATCGAACCCTCCGAAGGCCGATTCTATCTTTGAGAACTCTGCGTAGTTTAATATAAGAAGCTGATAATCGTTAGCGTAATGTTTTAACATCAGGGCAATAGACTGGTATTTTCTAATAATTTTAAACTACAACAACAAGATTTGGTCATATCAATGCCCCCAATTTGTATAAAGTACGTCCAGCTTGACAATATTCACCGACATTGTGTGTTGTCAGCTCTTGATCAAGATTATGACCAGCTTTCCGAATCAGAACTCAGTTTAACTGGAAATAATTACATTACTTGCAAAAAATATCGGACGATTTTAATTTCGAACAAAAAAAGTGTCCGAAAATAAAACCGTCCAAAATTTTTACGCTTCCCGCGAAATATGTACACTCAGTAGAGTATAAAATTTTTAAGTAGCTCCAAAGCTATTAGCTTCCTTTATGAGGCGAACTCTAGCTAGTTGAGACAGTGCTTGAGATACATAACGGCTAGAAAGGATTAATGTTATTTTCTCCTCGGTATACTTCTAAAACCTTGAGGGTGCAGTAAAGCCATCATTTTCACAGATATCGTTTACTTAAGCTATGATTCATCACAGTGTCCGAAATGTTTGGCCGCAACTTGTCCGAAATGGGACAAAAAGTGTCCGAAAATTAAACGCCTGAAATTTTAAAACGTCTGAAGGTTTTTTTTGCAAGTATTGTACTACGAAACGGAGTTCATAACAAACTAAATAGGCATACACGTGTAGCCACAAGATTGTACAGAAATATCGCTGAAGTTTCTCGATTTAAAGCCTACAAAGTTTGCTCTCATAGATAGAACTTACCGCAGGCCAAGACAAAGAAAACTATCGTCGACAATAGAGCTACAGAAATCCTCATTTCACGGCTTCAGTTCTCCCTCGCAACGTTCGTGGTTGTTGTGCTTGAAGACCACGTATCAACGAAAACAGGCACAAAGAACGGCACGTCTGGATGTCATGGCTATTCATACATACAAATGGAGACGGTTTGGCTAATTGCTACACAAATACAGCCGTTCAGGTGTTGCCAAATAAAGGTGAAAAGTGTCAGGGGTGTGACGAAAAAGCACCCAAGCATTTTGCATATCAATTTTAAAAAGTTTAACTAAAGGAAAGAATGCAACAGGAGGAAAAGAGAAATAGTTTAAAGAGTTTGCGATAATTTACGAGGAAAAGAGAAATTGTCTAAAGAGTTTGCGATAATTTGGAAGGTACATCTTTCGAATTATAAACTGGTTGAATAAATAAATGTCACTCCTGTAAAGCGGCACTTTTTCCTCCAGTTTAAATTATATAAACATAATTCGAGGAAAACATTTTCAAATTCCCTTCGTCACGTATGGAAACCGCTGGATACAAGTGAGTTAAGAGGAAGTACGCAATTGTAGGACAAGCATAAATCTACAATGCAAGTCAGAGAATGCAAAATCTATAAACAAAAGACGAGGAGAAGCTCAGTGAGAGGAACTGAAACGAAGAGAATGGCTTAGAATAAAAATAATGAAAAACAGGAATGACTTTGTTTAGCACTGACTACGAATTATGCACGCTGTAAATGGAAAAACAAATATTTAAAATTGTTATGAGAACTCGACCAGGTAGAAATTCAACCAGTTGCTTATTTACCAAGGGTTGCCGAGGAGAATAACTTGGCAAGAGCAAATCCAACTAGTGAAGGGTGGAGGATTTAAATGAGCCGGAGACCACCAGATTTGAAATCCAGCAGCCCAAACATACCGGTCACGCCGCCTCCTAGATAAGGAAGGAAATAGGACAGTGCTCTTTTATGGTTGTCAGTGCCGTCCTATAGCTGATCATGAGCTTGTCAATGAGGGATCGGAGTTACACACGAAATAATTAAAGTTAAAGTAGAGAGTTTGTTGTTTAATACTCAAAAGACAGGACAGGAAACAAAAGTAAATAAACTTCAAAAATAGGACAGCCAGGCTCATCACTTTCCTGCACGATGGTGGT